GGAAATGCTTTGCTCTGAATGATGCACACAATTCTGAAGAATGGTACTTTTTACAAGCTGTCCTTCAGCAGTGGTTTGCTTCTCCTCAACAAAGACATGATTGTCAAGTGCCTGATTGACAATTTTACTGTTAGCAGATAAAACAACTTTAGCTGAAGATCCCTACAGCTCGTCCACAGTTAAAATTTATCTATTGGCTGCCTCTTTACTAATGTTTTTCTTGCAAGTTTAGGTACATGGTTTTGTCATATCTGCATATCTGAATAAACAGCTCTTTGTGAGATGTCCAAAGCATGGGATATTGTTTCAGAGCCCTGCTTGACACTTTTCTCATTGAGATGGTAGCTGTGCTCCTTTTTTTTTTTTTTTTTTTGCCTAATTCAGTAGTTTATTAAGGTTCTCAAATAAATGTCATCATCCCTCGTACTATGCAGGGATTTGAACCAAGATTAGGTTTTATGCTGGTGGTTCTTATGAATTAATTAGATGACCTTGGAAGGCGATGGTTGAGTTGTTTTTGTTTAGGAATATAGTATTGGCTTCAAGCAAAAGCATGACACAGTTTAATTAGGAAAAAAATAGGAAACCATACATAACTTCATTTCAACAGAAGAAATACACATGTTTTTTTTTTCTCTATTCTTACACTGGTGCATTCAATGATTCACTAAACACACATTCACTCTGTCCTTATACTTTCCAAATTCTAGGCTGTATGCCTCAGGAGAACCTGAACCTGCTTTCATGTTGGCAAGCCTGTATCTTGTGTGGTCAGGGTCTACACAGTCTGCCATCAAACAGTCACATCCCATCGCTCTGCTTTTGGCCACCCTCTGTTCTCAGAGGTCTTCTTTTTCAGGTTATGTTCTTAATCCCCATCCACCTGTGTTTGAAAAAGCCTCAGGGATTTACTTTTAGTGGCAAAACGATCAAAAGGTAGAGAAGGATGCCTGTATATCTACTTCTTTCCTCTAGTGCTAAAGAGTGAAAACAGCTGCCAGACACCTGGTCAGCTCTGCTAAGATAGGAAATAGGTGTGTATATCTGGTTTGATCTTGAAGTTGAGAAAGAGCTCAGCTCTATGTAACAATTTTTTTTCTTGTAAATATATGGTAAATTATGAAAAAAAAATCCTGCTGTACATCAGCTCAAGATATTTTTTCTTTAAAATCATATTTAGTATGTTCTGCCGTAATTCTGCATGAAAATAGTGATATGCAGAGCTTTGCAGGAGCACCTGCTGGGTCACAATTAGAGGAAATCTGCTGTAAAAAGATTTAAATTGGTTGGCAAATAATGCTGGTGTATAACTGCTGGGTTCCTCAAGGCCCACTGGGAAACTAAATGCATAATTCATAAATCTGGATTCTCACTTTAAACGGTGTGCTGTGGGATTGATATTGTTTGCCCACCTGTTTGTAAATCATATAATTTGAATAATAAGATTTGCACATGTCTTAGTGTCATGTTCAGGATAACCATTTTATCAGCTGTACTTGAACTACATTTAAGGGTACAGTGCAAAAAACAACATGGACTTAAAAATCCCCTGAGGAGTCCTTGTTCAAATAATCCTTTCCCTGTGCCCAGAAGGAAGAAGTAATTTCCAATTCTATTCAGAAATCTGTGGACACAGATTCCAGAATCATTTTGCATCAATTGGCAATAAAGCCTGCAGAAGGCTTTAGACCGGAGACCTCGATTTAAGACCCACTAATACTAGATTTATAGGTTTTTTTTCTAGAGCTCATCTCACCTGGGGGAGGTGTGTGATAGCATATTTTACAATAGCTGGATATATTACTCCTACTACATCCTCAAAATATGACGGAATCTGCTAATGATTCGAGTTACTTAAATGTATTTGGGATCTGGCCAAAGTAGAAAAAAGCTTCTCTTAAATTGAGCTAAGATTGCAACATAATCCCTCATTTAAATTCTTCTAATGGCTGCATGCAGCAGAGGAAAACCAAAAATCAGTGTTGATGTGTTAGATGAGACATTACAAGGCAGAACTGAAAGACATCACAAATATATTACCTATTTTCACACTTTAAAGAGTAATTTTTTTTGTAAATACACAATAATATGTCAACTGATTTGACTAAGGGTGCAACTAAATGAACAGACTTTTAAGAACAATAAAAGGGAACATAACTCAGCAGCATCATATTAATCATATACTTCTGGAGAGATTCTGGTCCTTTCCTATTTGCTTTAGTTTATTGATATCTGGAGTTATTATACAGATACAGTGTGCACCTTGAGATAAATTATCATGGATGTCAAAAGTCACATATAAACACAGCAACACTCATATATTTACATGCAGATTATTAGTGCAGCATCCTATGCAAAGACACTTTTGCTCGGGGAAATCTAGAACTGGACTCACAGTCTTCTAGTCTGAAGTCTGGTTTCTCTTTCCACTGATCCACATCCATCACAACCAGCTGAAGCTGAAATGGAAATCCAGTATGACACTTCACGGATCCCCCACTCTCTAAATGTCCTGCTGGCATCTTTCCAAATTGGCATAAAAAAATTTGTTATATATGCCTCAGACAAGGAAAAGGCAAAAGCAAAAATAATGTTGTTAATATTTGATTGACAATTGCACCATTTTGGCTTTATGTTTGTTTATTGAAGTATTAAAGGGTTAAACAGTGTTTTTGGTGGTAGGTTTAATTTATTTTAGAACCTGACAAAGGCCAGATTATTTTTATGCTAAAATGCTCTATGTCTTGTTATTATGACAATGATATTTATTTCTAATATTTTCTGTCTTATTTCAATACTTTGCCTGTAACTTTGGCACTTCTCTCTAGTTTGCATTTGTTTGGTGACATTAAGAAATAGATGTCAAACTCCAGTCCTCAGAGGCTGGAGTCCTGCTGCTTTTTAGATGGGTCTCTACTTCAGCACATCCAAATCAAGTAATTGGCTCATTAGCAAGACAGCTGCATACTGACAAGGTTTTTCAGCCCTAAGATTTGCATGCATTGAGCCAGGGACAGATTTGGTTGTAGCAGGACACCAACCCCTTAAAACTGGAGTTTGACATTCTTGTTTGGAGATTTTTAAAATTATTAGGTTTTGTTCCTATGTTTATATACACACTCTGATAAAGCTACATAACATTAATTCAACATGATTTAAATAACATACAGGATGTGGTTAAAGAAGCATTTGAATTATGTGTAAAAAAAAAAAAAAAAAAAAAAACACCTTCAAAAACAGCATAAAGTGTGGAAATGAATCATTGCTTTACACATATTGGTTTTGGTCATGTTACTATTCTGCTTCCCTAAGCTAGAGTCACCTAAAGGAGAGATTCCAGTCACAAAATGGAACAACTGCAAATACTAAACATCAGGAATGACAAAGACACATGCCCTGCAGAAATGCCCATTGCATGTTGGTTCATGTCATTTGACATTTGATTTGGATCCTTAATTTTTTATTTCTGCCTTTGAAAGTCAATGGTGTGAGACCATCCATCCCCGATGTAGATGTCTTAAGTTTTTTCTTTTTCTCTTATATTTCAAACTGAAATAAAACAAAATTGCTGTAAATTCTTTTCTTGTAGTGCAACCGCTTACAGAAAAGAGAAAAATAAGATTGTAAGTAAAAATAAAATATAAGAATAAAATAAGATGAGGATAAGAATAAAATAAGGATGATATGTGTGTTCTATCTAAATACTAAGTTAAAGTAAGTTTTTGAGCAGGTTTCTCAAATGATGAAAATAAATAATCAATAATATGTATTTGTGTTGAATAAGGTTTTATTCAGATAAACATGAATTCTGAGCTGTAGGCCTACATTATAGGTCATGATGAACTGTTTACAGTCAGTAGCTTTGTGTCCGTCAGTCCAAGCTCTATTTCTTCTTTTTCCATAAGTCATTGTAATGTCCTGTGAGGCTGGAGTAGCCCCAAGGGCTGCTGGGTAATGTCAACATGGAGAAAGCATCACCCTTTTATCCTATTTTTGTGTTAAAGAGGGTTCTTTAATGTTGGTCGTCTGTTCATGCTAAGCTAACATTATGTTCTTGAGGTCGCAGCTTTAAGTGTTAACTTTGGCACCACATGAAGAATGTTTCACCAGTTGGATATAAGGGAACAAGCATGTTTTACTTACTTTACTTACTTATCTATCGGCAGACATGCTATAATATCAAGGTTAAAGTCATCATTAGTACAGACCGAGCTCCCAACCCAACTTTGAGAATAAATTGATCGCCAGACTTTTTAATGCCTATAACGGCCCACCACTAATACCGTACATACATATATATACCGTATAAATATATAAACCTTACTGAGTGCAAAACAGGGATTTATGATTATGATTTCCTTTATTGAAGGTAACTTATCTAACAGTAACGTGCCCCTTGGTAAACCATTAAGTACCGGAGACCTAGGTCAATGTACATCATCTATATGGAAGTTGGGGTCATAAAGTAAAACAAAAAAGTTAAACAATTGAAACTTTTTTTTTCAGGTTTTTTTTTTTTTTTTACACTTTAAAATTTTGTCAGTTTCAAATTTCTGACCCTGTTTTTCCATTGGGCCAGGGCTTCAGATAATTGTGTGGCATTATGACCAACAGTTCAAAACTGAATGGGAACTGTGAATTTGTCTTTAAAACATCAATGTTATTCTATTTTTATCCAAACACTTTTGAAACATAGCATGCTTCATGTATCTAAGAAGAGAAGATTTACTCATTTCTTTTATGAATAAATACATTTAATATTCAATAAAAAATTGCTGATAGGATGAGCTTGGAGCCCAATGAAGCTGCAGGAAGCACATATAAACTTTATCATATTCCAGTCAGATGTTAAAGATTTAATAAACAGCTCAGTTTGGGGGAATATATCCGCTTATCGCTTGCTGTGGAGCTTATTCTGCATTTACTTTAATCCTAGCATGATGGCTTTGATTTTTGGTTCATCTTCCGTCGATATTTATGATGCTGTGGTTTTGTGTCAGCTTTTCAGAGGTTTTTGGGGAAGACGGATGTGTCCCAGGAGCTAGAAGAGGTCCACGTGGAGGCTCGAGCTCGGGACAGCCTGAACGCTGTGTCTGTGTTGGAGCTACTGAGGAGCCCAGCTGTTCGCTGGCAGCTCATCACAATCATCATCACCATGGCCTGCTATCAGCTCTGTGGCCTTAATGCAGTAAGACGATGCACACATTTAGATTGTCATTTTTTCGGTATTTTGCTTACGATATTCTTGAATTTTAAGTGAAGTGATTTTTTTTTGTTATTTCAAAAGACAGATTTGATTGTAGCAGGACAAGACGTTTGTCCATCCCTCCAAACTATACTTTATTACCCTTTGTTAAGTAGCTCTACACCTCAGTCCACTGAGGTTTGCACCAATCTCTGCAGCTTTGATTACTTGAGCTCCTTAAAGAATTTCCAGTTTATAAGAGCATGTTTGTGTGATTTTTAACCCACCTGCTGAAAAAACTTGAGGGATGAGACACTGCTGTTGGATGCAGGGACCTCCTTTCTATAGTACCAACTCACAGGATTTCACTACCAGTTGACGTGCCTTTCTGATTACCAACCATTACATGGATCTGTTACTATTTTTAGTGCTGGCTCACTTGTGGTTCCCACTGCCACGTAACTCTAGAGAACTATTTGTCACTGATTGTCACTAGTCAAACACAATTTTAATAACTAATATGAATAATTACATAATTTTATGGTGCACTTATTAGATATATAAATGCTATTATGGCAAACTAGCTGTAGGTAGCATAAGCCGTAAATTGAGTTTTCTTACCTTCCTGTGTTGTCCTTCCATTTAATACCACATGGCTTCTCTCTCCTGTACATATCCCGATTGCTTCATCTAGATGCCAACAGCCTTCTTTTGCACTCATTCTTTACTGTGAGTCTACTAACAGCCATAAACAAAGCAATCTGTCATTTTGTTGGTGTCACTGCAAACCGCCTTACATAGGACTGTATGTCTGCCTTGCTGTTCAAGATTCCGCCCTTATTGAAATTGTAATAAAAAATTTATAAATCTAAATGTAGTTGACCTCACCTTAATAAATATGTTTCCACTGAAAAAGAGGATTTAGTCTCTGTTCTAAGTTTTCACTCAGTTGTTCGATCTAAACCTGGGTTTTGGCGAGGCCAAGCAGGTTTTTCTAAACTAAACTTCCTAATTTTGAGGCCTCCTGTATGAAGTACATCTTTGCACAAAAAGAACTGCTGTTTAATGGAAGTTGGGATTTGTAAGTATGAAGGCGCATGAAAGTGTCCAACAATCCACACAAACTTTTGACCTGCTGTGGTTAATTTGCCACAGCCACATCTAAAACCTTGATGGATTGATTGATTGATTGATTGGCTTTATTAGTCTCACAGTGAAGACATTTGCTCAATAACTAGTCAAAAAGAAGAAGGAAAGAAAGATGCCTATATATATATATATATATATATATACACTATATTGCCAAAAGTATTTGCTCACCTGCCTTGACTCACATATGAGCTTAAGTGACATCCCGTTCCTAATCCATAGGGTTCAATATGACGTCGGTCCACCCTTTGCAGCTAGAACAGCTTCAACTCTTCTGGGAAGGCTGTCCACAAGGTTTAGGAGTGTGTTTATGGGAATTTTTGACCATTCTTCCAGAAGCGCATTTGTGAGGTCGCACACTGATGTTGGACGAGAAGGCCTGGCTCTCAGTCTCCGCTCTAATTCATCCCAAAGGTGTTCTATCGGGTTGAGGTCAGGACTCTGTGCAGGCCAGTCAAGTTCATCCACACCAGACTCTGTCATCCATGTCTTTATGGACCTTGCTTTGTGCACTGGTGCACAGTCATGTTGGAAGAGGAAGGGGCCAGCTCCAAACTGTTCCCACAAAGTTGGGAGCATGGAATTGTCCAAAATGTCTTGGTATGCTGAAGCATTCAGAGTTCCTTTCACTGGAACTAAGGGGCCAAGCCCAGCTCCTGAAAAACAACCCCACACCATAATCCCCCCTCCACCAAACTTTACACTTGGCACAATGCAGTCAGACAAGTACCGTTCTCCTGGCAACCGCCAAACCCAGACCCGTCCATCAGATTGCCAGATGGAGAAGCGCGATTCGTCACTCCAGAGAACGCGTCTCCACTGCTCTAGAGTCCAGTGGCGGCGTGCTTTACACCACCGCATCCGACGCTTTGCATTGCACTTGGTGATGTATGGCTTGGATGCAGCTGCTCGACCATGGAAACCCATTCCATGAAGCTCTCTGCGCACTGTTCTTGAGCTAATCTGAAGGCCACATGAAGTTTGGAGGTCTGTAGTGATTGACTCTGCAGAAAGTTGGCGACCTCTTCGCACTATGCGCGTCAGCATCCGCTGACCCCGCTCCGTCAGTTTACGTGGCCTACCACTTCGTGGCTGAGTTGCTGTCGTTCCCAAACACTTCCATTTTCTTATAATACAGCTGACAGTTGACTGTGGAATATTTAGGAGCGAGGAAATTTCACGACTGGATTTGTTGCACAGGTGGCATCCTATCACAGTTCCACGCTGGAATTCACTGAGCTCCTGAGAGCGACCCATTCTTTCACAAATGTTTGTAAAAACAGTCTGCATGCCTAGGTGCTTGAATTTATACACCTGTGGCCATGGAAGTGATTGGAACACCTGATTCCAATAATTTGGATGGGTGAGCAAATACTTTTGGCAATATAGTGTATATATATGAAACCTGAAGTCTTATTATACAGGGTTGTTGTTATACAGGGTAATTACATGGGTATTTATATAGATGGGTATTTATCTTTATAGCTATTGCACTGGCTATCAAATAAAAAAACCTACCCATTACAATGAAATGTGACTCTCTTCATTTAATGTATACTGCTCATCAACCTTTTCTATGAGTTGGAGATTTTATGATTTAAAAATGAAAGATAACAAATGAATTACATTAGGCCTCATAAGACACCATAGAACACCTATGAAATGATGGAAACAACACAAACAAGTTGGATGTGACAATCAGGTCAAGAATGTGTTTATAATTGCACATGTCTATATAAAAAGGCGTAAAGAAATGCGCAATTGTGCAAGGATGCCAGTCTTGACACTGCTGGAGGACATCACCAGTGGAATGGCGGATTATTTACTGATTTAAATTGTCCAGCTTCACAGAGGGACACTGAAGAACTATGCGTCTCTGTGCAACATAATGATCTAACTAGCCCTATGTGCAATGGGAGTTTTTTTTAAGAAGGTGCTGACTATCATGTTCCTTTTTTATGAGCCGTTTCCCCGACTGCTGCAGCCATATGTTGTTTAGATTTTTTCAATTCTCTGAAAATCTGGTTAAATAGATTCAATTCAATTCAGTTTATTTATATAGCGCCAAATTCACAACACATGTCATCTCAAGGCACTTTACAGTTCAACCAGATCATACAGTCAAATTGATACAAAGTTTTCTATCTAAGGAAAACCAGTTGATTGCATTGACTCATTGACTCAAATACAATCCCTCACACTAAGCATGCTTGTAGCGACAGTGGAGAGGAAAAACTCCCTTTTAACAGGAAGAAACCTCCAGCAGAACCAGGCTCAGTGTGAGCGGCCATCTGCCGAGGCCGACTGGGGTTCAAGGAGACAGAAGCAGAGATACATATAACATTAAAATTTTAATCAAGGAGATGTTTTCCTAATGGATTCAAAGCTATATTTGCACTTATATTGCTATAAAGGAAGATCGGTATATATCTTTAATATCACAACTGCTTTTATTAATATTCAATGCATTTTTGATACAAAGCTATGCTTGTATTTGTAAAAATTCACAAATGTAGTGGGGGATTTGTCGGCTTGACTCAGAATTTTTTTTTTTACAGCTACTGTAATAATAATTGCAACTATTGCAAATAAAAGCTGTATTGGAAAAAGATTTCAAACAGGGTCCATAAGTGAGGGATGGTGTCCAGGTATACTGTACATTTATTATATTTTGGCCAAGCCCAAAAGCCTCAAAAGTCTAATTTTAAAATATAAATGTTGTGATGCTTTTCCTAATAGAAACATAACAATTATCAGCATTAGGTAATAATTGAGCTAAATTCAACAGCTATAGACAGCACTCACCTAAACTTTGTTGAACAAAATAGAACCAACAGGCTTTTAATTTTTTTACCCATTTATTCAGTAAGTAGCTGATATCTTTCGAGAAGTTGCTTGTTGGCTGTAATAAATGTCTCTGGTGTGTGTTGAAAAGTTCTCTCTGTAATGGCCTGATAGCCATGGTTGTTTGGACACAGGCAGGTGCCTTCCCAGTGTTTATACTAATTTCCATATGTATTTAGGGAGGGATGGGGGACAAAACGAATTGTGACCCTATTATCAATTCCACCTAATTTAGGATGTATGAAGGTTACAAATGCAGCAAGACATTTACATGTGGTTTTATATGTCTACACACGTTCTCTACACTAACAAATTTCTACCGCCAGCTTTTAGTATGAAAGCTGCAGACTCTTTCATGTATTTATGTAGTGATTCAGAATAGAGGACCCAGAATTCAGGCGAGACAGACAGTGGGATAATTTAGAAAGCACTTATTCAAAATGAAGGGCTGTGGATCTGCTGTATCAGCAGCAACTAGGGCGTCTAAAACAGGAACCTCTACAGGATAGAAACACAGGTTATTGACCATGATAATCTGAAGGAGGATGATTACAAATGAGTGAGTCACTAACCTTGTTTGACAGTGCAGTCTGTGCCCAGAGAACGAGGATGGTTCCAGCCAGTTGGCTGACGCTGCCCGAGAATTCCAGACGCTGAAGCCTAGAAGGCTCCAGAACTGACAGGAGGTCAGATCCAAGAAAATGAAGGAAGGTAGGATAATCCAGGTCAAAATCAGAAGGCAGATCCAGGTTCAGTCCACAAGAAGATTTTGGCAGATGTCCGAAGACAGGTCAGTCAAACAGATCAGACAGGGGCAGGCAGGATCAAAGGTCAGAATACAGAAACAGGTCAGGATCAGGCAATCAGAACACTATTAGAAATGCTAGAAAAGAGTCAAGAATAATCTGGCACTAACGGCTGGGACCAAGGAGATTGTATAGAAGCAGGAGCAGGTGGATCAGATGAGCAGTAATGAGAAACCAGGCAAATTTAGACAGGTGAATGAAATGAGCAGTCATCAGCACCAAGATCATGATAATTTAGGTCTTTGCTGCTACAGTATGTGTGCTGGTGGGGAGTATGCAGTTATACAATATAAAATAGAAATATTACTTTCGCTATAATTAAAGGGCAAAGCCCAACCTCGGGAAAACATCCCTGTGCTGTAATCCTCCCTGCGTCTTTGCTCCACACAATGATAAGTGCTGTTCTCCTGGCAACTACCAAACCCACACTCGTTTATTGGATTGCCATGAGACTCAGGATTAATCGCTCTAATCAACATGTTTCTTCTGCTTTAAAAAGCATTTCCTCTCATGCTTTGCATTGCACTTGGTAATGTACAGCTTTGATGCAACTGCTTGGCCATGAAAACCAATTTGATGAAGCTCTTCACACAATGTTATTGAAGTAATCTGAAGATAGTCACATGAGGTTTTGAGATCTGTAGCTGGTGACACTGCAGAATGATTGGTGACCTCAGTGCACTATTAGCCTCTTTATCTAAGTTGACTGTGAAATGTTTAGCACCAAAGAAATGTTATGGCTAGACTTATTGCACAGGTGTCCCTATATCATAAAATGATAAAACACTGATTTATTTATTTTAAAAATAATATTTAAAGAGGATTTAATCTCTGATCATTTGTAGTCATGTAAGGGAATCAAACACTTACATTTGTTGATTTGAAAAGGTGAGCAAACACATTAGGTTATAAAGTATATATATAATTTATAAAATATTGTAATGGGTTTCGTTTTTCAGGAATATTTTTCTCTGTTTGTCAAAGAGATTTGGATTCCCAAACCTCAGAAGTTCCTTGACAATATTTAAACATTTTCATCTAGTAGTAGTTTAAGAAATTAGTTTTGTGATCAGCATTGTAAAAGCAAAGTTACTTGGGCAGAATTCTTTAGTATCTGAAAAACAATTTAAAAATTCAGCAGGCATTTTGTACTGGACAGAAAGAATGCCATGACAGTTGATTTTCTACACTGCTGCTCAAACATTTCCACACCAATTTCAGTCCTAGAAGTGACAAAAACATCAAAACTTCTCATCAGGGGGTGGATCAGGTGTAGCGGCGAACAGCATTTTCACACCTTCCTTTGGGAAATCTGCTGTCACAGTTGTGACCCCATATGAGAGATTTCTTTAAAAACATGCCTTTTTTTCTGCTTTATTCCCAAGACAAAAGCCAAAGATGAAATAGGTTTCGGTTATGGATCTTCTTTGAATTTCCATATTAAAGACCACATTAAGGCCACATGAAAAGGAAAATCCAATCTTTTTAAACTAGATCAAGACTGTCATCATGAAGAAGGAAAAAAATATTTTTTTTCTACAGTTGATAATAAATAAGAATTATAATGTGTATGTAGGAAATAATTGTAAGGATTTTAATGAAAAAGTAAACTTCAGCATAGTTTCTTGCTTGAACAAGATCAAACACTCTCTACAGGTTTGTGTTCATTATAAATCAAAATCCAGGCAATCTAATGTTGTTTCATATACGCTTTGATCACAGCTTGAGCTGTTAATCCATATAGTGCAATGCAGGGTAAATATATTTCCCAAAGAATTGAAGATAAGTGCACATATCTCTGTAAAAAACACAGTAAATCACAATCACCTCCCACAAACTGGAAACAAACATTTAATGCTTCATTTCAGTGCTAGACATGTATCAGGAAAAATGCGATGATGTAGTGAAGCTTTGTGACAGATGAAGGTCTGGTGTTTAAATATAACAGTGATAAACGTTTATTGCAAATTCCCGAACATGTATGAGTTGTCCTGACACAACCAATAGAACTACACTTTGTTTTCCTCCTACAACATCCATAAAAAGAATAATCATCCCACAGGAGAGCGGTTTTCTGATGTTGCATAGAGAGTTAATGTTACGCCACCGTCTGTAAGCAAAGCTGCAATAAGAACTGTCTGCCACTGACTCACAAAACAACTAAAAGCGCTGCTACAAAGTCTGCAGTTTGTGATTTTAAGAAAATCTTAAGACTTTTATCCAGGAGCTGTGGTATATGAATTCATGTATTTTTTTTTTTTTGTTATTATCTAAAAGTTTTCACTTTTACACCTTGTTCAATTTTACAGGAAGAGTTATATTTTCTGTTACTTGAACATTTTGGCAAAAAATAACATTTTAAATTGCTTCCTATTTGTGCAGAGGAAAGAAAAGGAAAAATAGCTTTGACATTACGTCATGCCTATATGTCTTTTGAAACATGGCTCGGCTAACTATGATCAATTAGAGACTGAAATGTCTTTGCAAACATGCTCAACCTCATTTTTAAGTTTTGCCACGAATTGAAAATGTTTACCATGTGCTCCCCATGCCTTTCGGTCTCTGTCATCAACTCAGACTGACCCTGAGTGCGCTTGCAGACAGGTGAGTTCCCACTTGCCTGCGGACAGAGGCACTATCGCAGACAAAGATGGGTTGTTCAGGTTCAGAAAGATTTCCTAACAGCTACTCTGTCAAGCCGATCAGTGGTCAGTGTGTTTTCTCTGCCTGTGCATAGCAACCCGCCTTTGCATAGCAAATATGATGAGTTAAAAAACCTTTTGCTATAACATCAGCCCCCATTATGTTAAGAAGCTCAGTTTATTTTGCTCCATCTAGCCTTCAATCAACTATTAACAGCTTTCTTACAAGTATTTTTGCTAAGGAAAAATCGTCCCACAGCATGATAGTGCAACCACCATGCTTCGCAGTGGATAATAATCTAAGTGGAGCATTTCAGTCTGCAGGTTTGTTTAGCCCTTAAAACTATTTCTTAGAAATTATAAATGAGATCTATTATACATTTCTGTCAACTGAGAGTTTCTACTGGACAACCTTCCATAAAGGGCTGAACTGCTGAGTGACTAATATTGTCGTCAGCAGAGCTGCGGATTTTCCTTCGCCCTTAACATGGACTATATAGCTACTCTTCTTGTGACATGTCATTTAGGTGAATAATATTCTCTTGGTAATATTGCAGGTGTACCAAACTCTTTTTTCTTTTTGGATGATGGATTGAACAGTCATACAGGAAATGCATAAAGCTGGGTGAATTGCTTTATACTGTAAACCTAACTCCATATTAAACTCCTTCATAATGCTTTGCTGTAACTAACCTGTTGGCTGAGTCCAATATTAATTATTGGACACTACTAAATTTGTAAAGGCAATAAGGCACTAAATTTTTTGGGTATTTCACAGGAAAAGGAGTACAAATCAAGTGCAGGTGCCACTCTGCTAAGCCGTTTAATTGTTAAAAAAAAAGATTACTATGCACCATATTCTCTCCACCTTACAATTTTCCACTGCTTTGTGAGGGAATTTTAAATAAAAACGGAAATGAAATACACTTCACTACGCTACACTTAACAAATATGAACCAAGTCAGTCGGTGTCATTACCTTTTTTAATCACTGTGTGTGGCTCAAATTAGAGATTGGTAACATTACAAAAATCCAGCACTTAAATAATCATCTGTAGTGCAATAAAAGGAGGCACAGTATGACCCTGTTCCCTTTTGAAAGCTATATTTTAGTTCTTCCCAAAGCGCAACTGTAAAAATTGAAACAGATGAAACAGCTGGCTGTATGAATACAAGCAGGAGTGGAAAAAAGAAATAAATTTTAGTAAAATATGGCTATTTGAATAGTCAACTATATGAAGATGACCTAATATATATGCAGTTAGGAGTGTCATTTAGATTGATTCTGCTACTTAATATGCTCTTCAATACTGTCCCCTTGCCTAAATCATTTGATGCATAATTTTTCTATTCCTTTTTTGCTTTGTTATTAAAGCAAATAACAGCTTTAAAATCAACCCGATATCCAACAAAAATATTCAGAATATACGCAAAATATCCGCTCAAATGACTCAAATGAATTGCAGCGATTAAGGAATAGAAAGCCATCTAAACCAACGTACAAAGGTAATAAAAACGGCAATTGACCACAGAAGCTGATTCCAATTTCTCCACCCATGCTTGATATCTTCCAAACCTAGAACCTGGCTAGAAAAATCCCAGTAAACATCACTTTCTCCCCTGACCCGAAGAAAGAGAGCTTTGCTAGTTATTTTTACTGCTTGATCGCATTCGTTGCTGCTAAAGATGTTGGAATTTTTTACATTTATAAAGAGAAAATAATAATTTTTAAAACTGCTTTGAATAAAATTCAGATGTCTGGCAGCAACAAAGTCATGCTTAGATCCATAAAAACAATGGTCAAAACTGTGTTTTTATGACGGAAGGAAGAAACTTCCCTTGATGGTCTGAAACATTTAAATGCAACAAATAAAGCAAAAACAGAAGAAATATGAAAATGGGAAGATGACTTTTCTCATAACTATATTTTGTATTCAAACTCCCTTAGCTTACGACATTCTTTGAGCTTAAGGCTATTTAGACATCTACTTGAGTTTCTAACCACATGAATCCCAGAGTTAATCGAGTTATGGGATGTTTTGATGACAAGGGCTCCATCTGAATAATCTATCTTTTCAAGGTCTAATCACATTGTCAGTCCTGTTTTTATGCAGATTTCTTCTTCCTCTTACTTAGTTCCAGGCTGATAAAAAATCATAACAGAGAATAATTCTCTCAGCTCCAAATACAAAACATTTTTAAACAAACCCCGATAATTTTCAAAAATTAAACAGTTTTATTGATTAATAAATAAAATGAGCAAATGTCCATTTGTTTTTCTTGCAGATCTGGTACTACACTAATGGGATCCTACGGGAAGCAGGCTTAGCAGAGAATTTACTCCCCTACATCACACTGAGCACAGGAGCTACAGAGACTCTAGCCGCCATCATCTCAGTGAGTATGCCTGATGCCTTTACTTGTTCAAACACAAAGTAGTCTTTGTGTTGGTGTTGAACAGTTTCAATTGAATTATCAGTGGGGAAAGGAGATTATTCTGGTACATTTTTATTCATTTTCTGTGAATACTCTCCGCATGATGCAAAAAATACCAACTATTGTTTTAAATATAGTTAGGTGTAAACTACTATACTAATGTTTTATTGCTTTTTAATCATGTTTCAGGTCAATAATAAACAACATGACTATGATTATCATTTCTATATTCAATGCTGTATTTACTCGTCTAATTTGATTGCATTTTCTTTGTAAAGTAAAGATGCTATTACACAAGGCTTCCAGGGAACCAGTTTTTTACACTCTGTACCTTTCCTTTTGAAATATTGTTCTTTGTACACTGAGTCACATATAGCAGTTGATATGTATCCAACTCTGTAGGATATACAATACACCTGTCGTTATTGAAGTGCAAATGCCAAGAGCACAACTGCTTTAGTCCATGACTGACAAACTGTAGAAGTCAGAACATGAAAGCTCACAGAGGCAGAAAGTCTGAAAGAGGGAGTAAACCAAAGAGCATCAGCCTGTTGTTCTATGTACTCTGGTTAGATGATAACAGATCTTGAGGTTGAATGTAGGGTCAGAGATACAGTATCAGACTGAGGGATCACTTATTATAAAAAAAGAAAAAAAAAAAGGGGAGTGGTGGTTTAGTGGTTAGGGCATCGTGCTTGGAATCCAGAGGTTCTGGGTTCACTCCCACAGACTGCCACTCTGAGTCCCTAAGCAAAGACCCTTAACCCCACACTGCTCCCCAGCCACCGCTTAAAGGCAGCCCACAACTTCCGAAGGGGATGGGTTAAATGCAAAAGTAAATTTCTCCAGTGTGAGATCAATTAAGTTCTATTATTATTATTACTTATTTTTATAAAATTACCCCTCTTCTAATATATAATCATATAATTACAGACTACTAAAGTTGTTATTTATCCCAGTTGTTTTCCAAAAATGAAAACATTTGATTCCACTAGGTAATAGCAAGATAACTTTATTTTTATAAAAAAAAAAAAAAAAAAAAAAAAAAACAATCTATGCACAAACAGAGATTGTTTTATGGAATTAAAACGTGGCTGGCATTCTTTAAAATCATGTTAGAAAAAAGTGTTCATTTGCTAGCCTATTGCTAACTGCCTTTAAAATCCTCTTAATGAGAATTGTTATCAGTGCTGCACTAACAATCTTAACAAGTAAATACAGGCATCTGAACTCATGTCCACACGTTAGGAAAGGGTTCTAGTTGTTAATAGCCAGAAAAAGTCATACATTTAAAAAAAAAATCCCCAAAATATTTGGAATGTGAGGCAACATGTATTAAATAAAAACCCTAGTTTACCAAAATACTACATTTCTACAAATAAAACGGCTTGTTATGGACTGTAAAACTGCTAGTTCAGATAGGCTTTTGCTTATAACTTATCAAGCCTTTTATATCCTCCATGTTTTGCTCTGTTGGCTGAGCATTTTTACAATTGCCTTTGTTTTTGCTGTGAAGTCTGTTTTTTTTCCTTTAATATAAAACTTTTAGAAGGTTCTTATTAAGCCAAAGACAAATTTCTTAGCTGTCTTGCTGCAAAATGATCCTACTTGATATTCTTTTTGCTGCATATACAGTAGATAGTACGTTTACTAATAAATCTTTTTATATTAAATTTAACTTGGCTGTAAAAGTGGCTAAGCTCTGCTCGTCTGACCTCCTTTACTCTTTGCAGCAAAGAATACCTCTGTAACATGGACAGAATCACCTCAGAGAAAAATATAAATCTATAGTAAAATAACCCACAGCACCCTTCCCTACATCGCATTAGGTTAGCACAAACGTTTATCCAATTTAACCCTCATTTAAAAATAAAAATGAAGCTATTATGCTGTGAGTTTGTGTCCTGTTTTAATTGTTTTAAAGGGAGATTCATGGACATTGGTAAAGGTTACAGATGTTAATATACAAGAGTTAACAAGGCAGCTAATTTTAATTTATTGTCTCTTAGCAGGTGGCATATAACAAATAAAACAAGGCTAAAATGATGCTTTAATATTCATTACATGGTCGTAAAATTCCCCCCTAGAATTTAAACAATTAGATGCTGTTATTGAACCATTTAAAGCATATGTTAAAGCCTGGCCTATTTGTAAAGATAAAACACTTCATTTTTAAATGATTATTCGTTTTTATTATCATATATTTGATAAAGTAACTACAGTAGTTATTAAAAAAACAACAGATATAAATGTATACTTTTTGTCACCTTGATTGTTCTTTTTTTATAACTGTGTATAGATGGACCTCGAAAACAAAGAATGCTATATATACAAGCCTTACCTACTACAAGTTACAGCCATTTAACCTAACAAATTCATTATATGTAATATTAATTATTAATACACAAAGTTTGTCTGTCACCTCCTGTATTTTTCCTTAAAGATGGGATTTATTCTACTATTTAGTAGGAGCATGCTACTCTACATGGTGAACTAAACTTGCACAAAAGATGGAAACCTTTCACTTTCTCTTATTTGTCCTATTAATATGACTTTACATTTTAAGCACAGTGTAAACCGAAAGGATATCACTTAATCAGTAAAAGCTGAACCAAAACATGATGTGTGTCTTCCTTGAAATGTTTGTTAGTATGACCTTTTTGGACAGAATGCTAAAACTATATTTTCATGGCTTGTATTAAGTGATTTATTCAGACTAGTGACTAGAATAAACCTCCATGATGCTGTGACATCATTTTCCATCTCCAGCATCTGACTTCTGAGAGGAGTTTGCATTGATAACAGTCTTGTTAAGTTTTAGGACTTCTGCAAAATGTAAGCAGTCACCCATAGATGTGGAATTCTGAATGAGTTTGTTGACAGTTTTGTTTTCAAGCTCAAACTACTCTTTGTTCTGTATCTTGTGTAGTAAAAAAGAAATTCCCTTTGTCTTGAACTAATAAACAAATAAAAGTTTATCAGTTTTGTTTTTAAAGGAAGGATGTTGAACCAGTATAAATAATGAATCTCTGACCAAATAACAGTTTGCAGGATCAAAATCTCTGTTTTTCACCACTTAGCCTAAAAAAAAAAGGGATATAAAACTGAAATCATATATTTTCAGCCTGAATATCTCCTGAGTTTGCCTCAGATTTTTTTCTCCTGAATCCTAATGCCATAGGCCAGAGACTAAAACATATGGATTTATGTGAGAACAAAGAACATGGTGCAGATTACCAGAATTTTAAGCAAGAAAGGGTTTAAAAGCTCTTTTTAATCAACTGCTTAATTTTTGACACTTAGTTGCTTTGACCCAGAGTTATTTAACAATGAGGAAACACTTTTTTATGTTTTTTTTTTTTATTATTTAATGTGGATATAATAAAATGTATTACATGATATTAAAGTAAATATTAGGTGAAGATTTGAATTCATTTTCTCTTTTGTTGAGTCCAGTTAAAATATTTCCTTTTCTTCTTAGACAGAACCACATAAAAAAGCAGTAGGAAATATTCCCTACCATCTCTCATTAAATAAGCATATATGGATCCTATATGATATAAATTGGATCCTCGAAATTGATTTGATCCTTGTCAACATGAGTACGTTGGAGTCATTTTTTTTCTAACCTTGATTGAGTAAATCTGAACCAATTCTCACATTCCAACAGTAATTTGAAATTAAACTGGAGGTAGACTGACATTTGATTATATCACCCTTTTTATGAGCTGTTCTTCTGATTAAAATAATCATCAAAATTAAATTACTCTTTTTTTAGTCACTTTATATATGGTGGCCCTTAAAGGGCAAGTCAAATAAATTGTCATTGAAAGATCCTTTTTTTATAAAACTGTCCAGACTTTTTTTCTGTCAGTCAAAGCTAACTTTAATTTAATGTCTCTTAAAACAATTGTGGTTCATGGAGAGTTTAGATTCTGGTTGTCTCCTTTTCCATGTTTTTATAAAATTAAGTAATGTTTATGTCTTTGATTTTTTTCTTCCCAACTATAATTCTGAGATTTGATTTAGTAGTGCAGCAACATACATTACTACAAGTTCCTAGAGACATTTCAATTTTTACTTAATCAACAGTAAAATTAAAATATGTCCTCCCTTAAAATGAAAAAAATAACATTAAAACAATATCAAGTGTGGACATTAAGGATGACTGATTAAAATGTTTAGATTTTTTCTATACTGATAATCCTCCTTTGGATAAAACAACGCAGTTGCTACTAAATTGATTTGTATTAGTTTTATATTCAAAATAAAAAGCATTTTGACCTTTACTAGTTCCAGTAGGTCCAGATATTTGTGGGGATAATGAAAAAAAAACTCTGCAGCAGGCTTCAAGATGTTGCTTTGTTGATTTGTCTCTCAAATATCATAGCACACACATTGCTGAGGTAGGAAATAAATAATCCCAGGCTTTGCTTTAGCCTTTGCTTGATTTTAGTTGCAGTGGTTATTACGCAGATCGGCCAAAATTCACAAACAGCAGTTCGTCTTCTTCCCTTTCCATATTTTTAGATAAAGATTGGATGAATTATGCAGAAAGGTAAAGCATTCCAAAGGCAGGTGACTAATTTTCAGACTGATGTGACAGAATCAAAAAACTGTAAGGAAATATGAACAGTCAGTTGGAATCCTCAAATTCAGATATAATCAGCTTTGGGATTACTCAGGCTCCACATGAGCTGACCCAGAACAAACCATCTTTTTCTGGTATTCCCTCATCATGCGCAATAATATACGGCTGCTTTCTGTTGTTCTCCCCCAGATTGCCTTTGAAATTAGAGCAAAGCCTTTTAGCTGCAGCCTGTTTGTGTCCTTGTGTGAGCTTTGGCTGCACAGCTATTGCTCTTTTTTTCTTTACTTTCACCCTGTTAACATTTTATTTGCTACAATGGCCGCTTTGTTATACAGAAGCAAAGGCTGTGGATCAGTGAAATGTGTTTAGA